TTTTTTTAAAAGTGGTAAAAATTTAGGCTATTGCGCGCACTTAATTTTTTTACTTTGGTGCTTTATAGTGGAAAATGCTTTCATATATCTTGTAATGGAATTATATTAATTGTGGCCAAAAATGATTTAAAATGAAACCAGAAATCAAAATTTTAGGCGCGCCGCGCTTATTTTCTTCAATTTACATCGTAGTATGAAAATCGAGCGCTAACGGAAATACTGTCATAATTTTACTAGAATATGTTAGTGTTGTCATTACATTTCAGAAATCATTTCACCTTATTTGATAATCATTTCGATGTGTTATTTGATTTTTATCTATGTTTTAATGTATTCTCAGTGATGTGGAGTACTCATTCATAATAATTCCCATTGTTTATATCATGTGCTTTATCGTCAAAAGTCGACTATGTGTGACAAACTTTTTAATCTTAATTTATAAGATAGTATAATCTTAGCAAGGACTTGTGAGATAGTTGTAAGATTTTGAATGCAATCCTTTTCTTTATATCCAACCAGTAAAAATTGATCAGTACATCCTCAAGATTGTCATGTTTATATTTCATAGCCTATGAGATTCAAGTCATACTGGTAAATTTGACGTTTCTTCTAAAGTGCTGACTAAAGGCTCCGCTCCACGTGCTTTCAACTGACCCTTTACGTACAGCAATTGTATATAGGTTCAGTTCATCAGCTGATCACCTCAGATTAATGTGAAAATAGGGGTAACTGGACAACAGCTGAATTCTTTATTTGTGAGGTGAATTCATGCAGTTATCATGTTCGCACTTTGGCTAAAATTGAATTTAAATGCGAAATGACCTTTTGCATCAGTGACTCATAATCTTCATGAAAGGCCTTCATAGGGTGCAGGTGTCGACAACTAACACAGAATAGAATCCTTAGAAATAAGGTTATGAGCTCCTTTGTCATAAAATTAGTAGCTATTTTAGATTTAATAACAATAATGTCATAAAAATAACAATGTCAGTTAATGAATCTGTTATAAATAAATATATGTTGAATAAAACTTTGAACTTCGTCTCTAGAAAACGTTTAAACATATTTCCACCGTCTAACTAGCAAATCTTACAAATTCAATAGTCCTATCAAAATTATTGGAGAGTCCAAATCTGCCTGTCAATCAAAGTTCTTGATAAATCTACTGATGCCAGGCATCAGCTGTTAACACAGATTAAGCCATACATTGCAAGCAACCACTTTCACAATTTTGTTTCTCTGAACAGTACTGTTCCTCAAACTTGAACTTGAGCCTTTTTTCAGTCTGTCTCAGAAGCAACCATCACACCACGACGTGGTCATGGTCCTTATGACAATAAATACTAAATAGTGAGTAGTTACATCCTGTCGAAAAGTGGGCGAAACCAAAATATTCCTAATTTATACAACACAGCCAAATTATATAATTTTGTCTAAAATCACGGTTATGAGTTTTTGATGCGTTTTTATCATTGTCTGAAACAATACGATCACGTTCGTGTTGCTATGTCGATATTGTTATTTATTTTTAAAAGAAAAGAAAAATCATTTGTTAAAATGAAACTTTTGTTTTTATGATTGTGCCGTGCCTCACAATAATATTGGTTTCAATCAAATAAGTCTTATCTTGCCACATACCTTTAATCGAGAAGCTAGACAGCACGAGTTTGGAAGACCTTTATCTTTCCTTAATAATCTTCGCTATCCAATCTGTTCCCATTTAGTAGAAGCTTCCCATTTAATATAAGTTTAAATTCTCAATTTGCTACATTTATCAGGATGGCAGATGATGTTTTCAGTATTGGTAGAAAATTAGATTCTATTATCAAGGCAAAAGATTTCAACGAGGACAATGTTACAGATTTACTCAAAGCCCTACAGTCCCTCCCCATGTCCCTCGAGATGCTGCAGGTATTTGATTTGTATAAGGTATTTCATTGTGCTAATATTAATAAATTGTATTATTTATACCGATAAATAATGTATTAAATTGGTATCCCAAAAAATACGACCAAGTGATCAGTTTGAAATCATTATTGTTATGGTCATGTGCTGCCTGATAATTACCAAAATAAACATTGCATAACGAAACTAACCCTTACAGAAAACACGTGTTGGATTATCAGTGAACACGATCCGAAAGAGAACCGAGAACCCCGAATTAGCTTCCCTCACCAAATCTCTCATCAAGAGTTGGAAAAAACTTGTACCAGGTAGGGTATTTTTAATGTATTATTATCAAACATGTACTGTCAATCTTTCAAATGTCAACAATCCTAAAATAATTTAGAACCGAAACGTGATCCTTTGTAAAATTATATGTCCCAATAGTCAAATTGACTTGTACTCAAGTATAAAGTTAAACAATTTACTCCAATAACCACGGTCACTAGCAAGTTCTCTCAAATTGAGAATATCATCATACGACTCCAGCAAGATGAAACGCTTCCAGAGGTCAACCTTCAGGTGGTGTAGGAGGTTACGTCTGTGAGCCCCGAGTCTACCAACTTCACTACACATCTCGACAGCAAAACACAGCGCAGCTTGAGCTGGTGATCTTTCATCGCTCCTCAGTATGTGTCCTAGCATCTTCCACCTAGATAACTCAGCACGCTCAGACATAGGGGTAGAGTTACTCTGTTTGTAGAGGGTATCTTTGGACATCATACTGCGTGGCCAGCTGACATTCATGATCTTTCTGAGGTGGTTACGGTGACATGCATCTAGTTTGTCCCAGTACGATTTAGGCATTCCCCAGCAACTAGAGTTATACATGAGGATAGATACTACTTGAGCCTCATAGACCTTCAGCTTCTTCTGTAGGGGGATCTTACTCTGGCACCAGACCTTCTTGAAGTTCTGGAATGCTACATTGGCTAGCATGATTCTTCTGGTGACATCTTTCCTACTTTCTAGCAGAGAACCCAACAACTTGCTACTGCACCATTCTTCATTCATTCTAAGGGGTTTACCATCATCCATGACCTCATCTTTCCCAGCTATGTAGACGTGTACAAACTCTGTCTTTGATTCATTAATATTCAGATTCCACTCTTTGAACACCTTAGTAGCGATAGGGAGGAGGGCTTCTAGAGCATCTTTGTCTTCACCAAGATAGTCGATGTCATCAGAGTAGGCATCTTCTTCAGGCATGCCGCTAGGGCTTATAGGGGGGGTTGGTCGCAGCGTCACGGCACGCAGGTGGTAGCAGGCACCAGCTAGAGTGACTGTGAAACAGAGGCCTGAAACACTATCACCTTGGGGTCCTCCATTGGTGCTGATGAATACAAGGGAGGTTTTTTAATGTATATGACTTTTAAATGAGTGTTTTTCCACAAGTTTATTCATCGGTTTGAAACCAATTATCCATTTCTTTTACTCTACGTCGGTTTTTATCTTTCAGTTCCTAACACCAAACCTAAAGAAAACTTGAAATCAGAAGAAAAAGTAGCGCCGGTAAGTTTCAAATTATTCACAATCTTACTGATTATAAAATTTTTTAAATAGCTCTTGGTATCCAATGGCAATTTCTTTTCCAAAAAGAAATGAGGCGAACTGTTCTGTAGATAAAGATTTAAATATTTAATAAAATAGAATATAGATAAGGATAGTGGCTGGTCACTGGTCACTGGTTATTGTTTATACTATAACAACTGCAGTTATTTTCAAAGTAGAAGATGTTTATAAAAGGTTTATAAAAGGTGTTTTCAGGTGAAAGAAATGGAGCCAGCTCTTGCTCTCTCCCCTTCTCCAAAGGAAGAGGAGGATCTCCCAGAGGGTGCAGAAGATTTGCAGGACCCAGTCAGGTAGGCAGTCAGACCTTTTAAAGTGTTAAATATGTTAGTATGTTAAATATGTTAAATATGTTAAACATGTTAAATATACATTAAAAATATGTTGGATAGATTGGCGCTTCGTTTGTTTAGTTCATTGTCAGAAAGTTAAACACGAATTAGATTTTAATTTAATGCAGTTTGTAAGTGTTTCGAAATGAAACATAGAATGGTATTTAAACGATGTGCTTCAATTTAAATTGATAACATTGTTTAATAAGCACCGTTCAGGAACAAATGTAGAGACCTGCTATACAACGCAATGAAGAAGAGAAGGGTTGAGGATGGTGGCGAAGCTAAAGTCAGCGTGTATCAAGTAGCGTCTGATATTGAGAAATGTATATTTCAGGAGATGAGGGGGACTAATATGAAGTATAAAAACAGGTCAGATAAGAAATATTAATCATCCATAGTCGACATTGTTTGTCTTCAATATTTTTCGCAAATAGATAAATAAATAATAATAAATAAAGTCAAATTTCATACAGCACTTTATCGGTAAACATTTGGTTATACTTTCTTGGTAATGTTTGGTGATGCCTTGACTCGGTTTCTTTAACACTTCATGTCGATAGACTTTTAAAATTGAAAAGCTGAAGTTTGAAAAAATGTACCTCCCAGGATCCGAAGCAGAGTGTCTAACTTGGGAGACGAAAAGAATCCAGATTTCATAACCCTGGTTTTAACTGGCGGCGTGTCGGCCGAGATGGTTGCTAAGATGGCCCCTGAGGTGAGATCTTTGCTCAGTATAAACAATATATATTAATTATTGATAATTAGTTGTTGCTTGGTTTCCCAAAAAGTGCTCAACTACTGCAATCAAGCAGGAGCATTATTTTTCACTCGAAAATTTACTCTTCTCGAAGCTCAAACTATACTTGATTTTAGCACGTACAGGATTGTATGTGGTTAGTGGTTGAGGTCTCCTAAAGTTATATATACCCTCTCGATCTCAACCACCAACTTCGAATCTCTCCACGACAGAGATCGCATTTTATCATATACTAACTTTATCCTATCAGGAAATGGCAAGCCAGAGGATGCGAGAAAAAAGGAACGAGTACCAGAAGGAAGCGATAAGAGAGGCGCAGATAGCAGTAACAAGCGGAACTAAAACCAATCTCTTGACTTGCGGGAAGTGCAAGAAGAGTGATGTGCTTTATAATCAGCTGCAGACGAGAAGTGCGGATGAACCCATGACTACTTTCTGTGTTTGTGAGCACTGTGGTCATAGATGGAAGGTACGTTTTAGAAATTTTATTGATTAGTAAGTTTAAAGTTAGTTATAAAGTTGATTAGAGTTGATTAGAGTAAGATTATTATTTCTTTGGACAGAAATTTCGTCTCATTTTTTGTTGTTGTGATGTGCCCCAAAATAGTAACCATTATTATTTCAGTTCTGTTGAAGTCCTCCAAAACCGACGAAATAGTCACAAACTACTATCAGCTATGTTTCACGCTATCGGCAATCAGATACCTGCACAAACTGCAGACCAAGTCAAAGACGTTATATTGTTTTTATCGAGGATTCGATGCCATTTAGCGTATTACATATTCTTTTAAGTTTTATCTTGACTGTATTTAAACTGTATTTTACACAATTTAAGATCAATTTAATCTCGCTGAAATCCTCATTTAAAACTGTTGCAGTTAAGCCTCATCCAATTAAATTATTGCAAGCTGAAAGCGCTGTTTCTACTCTATTTATAGAATATAAATGTGAATACGGTAAATAGTAATAATAATAATTAGTAATAATTAGTAATAATAAATAAATCGCAGCATAATAAAGAACATAAACTCACTCAGATATAATAAATTGTGTGCATTTTTGCACACGTGAGGCATTTAAATAACGTCCAGTGTTATTATAGCATGATGCAGAGTGTGTGGTATAATACAGTTTTACAATTTGATTGACAGTCATATTTAATCAAACTAATTTGTTTGAACACTATTACTATTACTGATTTGTATATTATTACATCTTTATCAGTCAATGTCCCTTAATAAATATCCTTACTACTTTAATATGAAAATAATAAATAACTCCATATTAAAGATCTCTAGTAAAATGTTGTAACCATATTATTTATCCCAAGCAAGATGTTGAGCTGCTCCAGAATTATGCTGCGGCAGGGTCTGTGCACTGGTGCCCGCGCACTAGCAGCTCCTATCCAGTTCACCAACTACATCCATACTACCCATGTCCAAAAAGACGAGACTTCTGCTTCTGGGGCGCTGATTGAAGCCGCCAAGGGAATGAGGGTTATCCCCACAAGAGGCCAGGCTGCCAAAGAAAAGCTCTACGGTTTCGTCCAAGTAAGTAATCATTGAGTATTTATCCTATTCCTTGCTATTACTATCATGGATGAAAATGAGTCACGATTCTAATTTAGCTTACTCGGACATTGTCAATGGCCATTGCAATGTGGTATATTTCCCCCCTGTAAACTGCCTACAACAATAACAATTTCCTTTCACCAACTAATTCTATAAAGGGATTTTTTGGCCCGTCATAATTTCCTTGCTAGTTGTCTGGATGAATAGTTTTCTTCCTCCGAGAACTCTCCTGGCTCCCATAGAGACAACCTATTGCTAGTTTGAAAGGTGTATTTATTATCTAAGCATCCGACTGGTAATGTTCTCTGTCAGCATTTAGGAACGCGCGCCGGACACGCACCTACTTTACGCGCGGTCCGATACATAATTTCTCCAAACTAACGTTTGCATTCGTGGGAATAAGTTAAAAGCTAGTTGAGCCAAGAACGATTTAATAATCTACTTGCGAAGAAGTTCAAAATTTTACAAGATGTAAGAAGAATTACGAGCTTAAAAGCGAGGCATCAAATGACGTCGGACAGGCGACAATTTGTACAATTATAACTTATAACGATTGCTTTTCAGGATTTGTGTAAACAGAACTTGGGAGAGGAAGGTGCCCGTTACTTCCCCTTCGCCCTTGGTCTCTTCACCACCATCGGTTTCTGCAATGTCACAAACCTTCTGCCTTACATCGAGATGCCTACTCAGGTACATTTCAGATATCAATTTCATATCAATTTCACTTGCCTCCATTCGAATACTTTTCTGACTGGGCTGATTGAAATCATAGATTTGAGAATTGAGAATGTCATCTCAGATATTCTGTCTGATATAAACTTTGCAACTGCAAAAAAACATCGTCATAACTTTTAGATTATCGGGTGCACAGTGGCTATGAGTACCACTCTGATCGCTGGGCTCACAATAAAATGCATCGCAAAACACAAGCTGGATTTCGCCTCGTTCTTCTTCCCTCCTGGAGCACCTGTTGGGTTGGCACTGTTGCTTGTTCCTGTTGAGACGGTGAGTTTTTAAATTTATCTTCTTGTTGTTTTCGATTAAAAAACGATACAAGAATTTTGAAATACGACTGAATATAATTTTTAATGAAGAATTTTGATATTTTTGTTGACACATCTTACGAGCCAACTTCATTTGATATCACTTTTGTTTAACGTAGTTAAAGTATCCTTATCATATTTTGCTTATACATCTTGTTTACCTTAATCTAATAATGACTTACAAAATACATTTTTTTCAGATCTCATTCTTCTCTCGGGCTGTCTCCCTTGGAGTTCGTCTTGGAGCTAACCTGACTGCTGGCCACATGATCCTGCATATCATCTCTGATTTCGGTGCCCAGATGCTGGCTAGCGGAACTGCAGGTGGCGCTATCGGTGGGGTCCTCTGCACCGCAGCTCTAGTCCCTGTGTGTATTCTGGAGATTGCCGTCGCTGTAGTACAGGCCTATGTGTTCTGTATGTTGACCACCATGTACCTGAACGACGCCCACGAGCTTCATTGAGCAGATAAACTGATAATAAAATAGTTCTTTTCATAAATTATTCGTTTGAGATTATTGTATGATGATGTACTAATACTTCGACTTCGCTTTTGGTAATCTCGCTTTACTCAATTCTCAAAGATTATGGCGGTGCAACGATTTTGAAATGAAATTGGAAATACGAAAGGGAATTAATTTTAGTGGTCGTTCACATATTGCGTAATAATTTTTTGGAACATTTTTACCCCCCCCCCCCTCCCCAGTCCCCCCGGCCCCCCCTCCGTAATCAGTTTTACACATAGCTATTGTGTCAAAATTACGGTAGTGTAATCATTCGGAAACGCCCCCCCCCCCTCAGCTGATTACGTAGTATGTGAACGACCCCTTCCGATGGAAACTACATTGCGATGAGGGTGAGGGAGGGGTTTCAAAATGATTACACTAGTGTAATTTTAACACAAAAGCTATGTGTAAAACTAATCACGGAGGGAGGAGGGTGTTAGTAAGTGATTTAAGTTAATATGTTATTAAATTAAAATGCAAAAGCATATCATGTATTATATAATATATTACTACAAACTACCCAAACTATGAGTGGGCGCACGCCGCACACCATATCTCCACAGAACTAGCATGTCCAACTTGATATACGTTGTTATGTATCACGTCGTACTCGTGACCCCCATTGTCGTTTCACAAAGGGGTCGTTCACATATTACGTAATCAATATTTGAGCAATTTTTAATTTTACCCCCCAACCGTAATCAAGACCCAACCCCCCCCCCCCCCCCTCCTGACAGCAATATTATTATTACGTAATCATGGCCTGACCCCCCCCCCCCCCCTTGACTTTTTTCCTAGAAAACACTTTTCTCTACGTTTCATGCTACCCTGATCATGCTATCGTGATGAGCCGAAATCATTGTTATGATATCCGGCCAAGCACCTTCTAAACTACTTACTATAATATAGCCGGATATTCGATCAATTTCTAAATTTTATCACTATCAGAGTAAAATTGAATGTAATTTGGATTAAAATATTGTCAAATTGTTATCATTCTAGAGGGTAAAAAAGAAAATTTTGATTACGTAATCAACGACCGAAACCCCCCCCCCCCCCCCCCCCCGTAGTCAACCGTATGCATTTGGAAACCCCCCTCCCCCCTCGGCTGATTACGTAATATTATATGTGAACGACCCCTAAGACCCCAAACTAAGACACTAAAAAACTCCTTTTAGCGTTTCTACGATACAGGGGGAGCCGCGCGGCGGGTCATAACGTATGACAAGATATACGTATGAAATAATACGTATGCAATCATGGTTGTATAATGTATAGTACTAGCTTGATTCTGCATGCAATTGATGTCATATGTACGCCGAGCAAAATCAAACTGGGAATCATTTAAGATAATTTTCGAGGCAATAAAAGATATGCAAATAAACAAGTTGTGGAGCCGTCACAAGTTTACTCTTTCTTTCTGCATTTTGTTAACTATGTTATTTTGACTAATAAGATCGTGGTAGCGTCTTGGTGGCTAAATGTAATTTGCACCGTAATTATAAGGTTACCGCAAAAGAAGATCGGAAAGCTTTGTCAGTTCTTCAGATCGTTGATCTCGAGCAGAATGAATTCAATTATAATATAAAGCAGATCAAGGTCACCGCAATTTATCCATTATCGAGGACCGGCATTTTTCAAATAACTCTGCAACTCAAAAGTTCTTAACTTTCGTCTGATGACGAAATTGTTGCGCGTATATAAACCCAAGTACATATTTGGAGGAGAGCTTACATATGAACAGTCACTAACTAGTAGACAGCAGTGACTGATATTTAAGCAGCATCACACTGTTTTATTTGTCACAACATTTCTACACGTATAAGTGATAAGGTAGTTTTTTAAAATTTCTTATCAGGAGAAATGTTGTGTCTTAAATGTTGCTTTACTCATTTCCAGACGCATTTGTTCAGAATACAATAGTTTGCGACCACGCTTATGAATTTTACGTTCATATTTAATTATATTTTCCTTGTAAGATTTCATATTTAATTAATATTTATTTTCCTGTTAATGTTATTCATTCTGTTGTTTACAAACTAGGAGCCAACTGGGAGCTGATTGGACATTTGGTTCGTTCACTGATTCGGTCTGCTTTCATTTTCAATATCTAGATCTGTCGAACTTGTTTATTGAACAATTAGGAGTCATTTATAAGATTGTTAAAAAATAAGCTGTCACAATTATATTGACAATAATATGAAATTTCACCTAACAACCGTGACTGTAACTGTAAGTGCCACACTGTGGTCCACACTGACACACTAGAAGTATCCCAGTTTGTTTTAGTTATGCAACTATAATAGAGTTCAACTAATATATCATAATTCTTCCACTTCTTTTGTTGATATTCATGTCCGTCAAATTTTGCTTTTACGGGAGGCCAGCCATTACTGTGCCTTGCGGATTTCACATCTATAGGGGGTCAAAAGGGCAGGGTGGTAATCGCACTATATAGTGACAACACAATAGTAACAAGCACTTTATAGTGACTGTTCGTAATACTAATAGGGTTCGGTTTTCCTCTATATACTATATATGTTGCGTTTATAGCCGGGGCCCGGGGGATACACAATTTTGGACTCGAGGCTTCCCCCTGGTAATTGGTAATGCGATCTCGGAAGGCAGACCTCCCCTTTGCAACGTACGACTACGAGCTCGGAAGCTGAAGCTCTCGATACGGGAGGTACTAATCGAGATTGCAGATTGACTCGGACCGAAAATTTTCCAAGTCAAAATTTTTTCAAAGTTTTTCTTAAAACCACTTTTCTTAACGTGTCATGCTATACCCGGCCCTGTTCATTATTAGCCGAAAATTTTTTTGTTTTTCAAACTCCGCACCTAGTCAAACTATTTTTAATTTTTTAAGGATTCGAGTTAAAATGTAACAAAACTATGCATTTCAAGATTTTAGAAATCAATTTTTAAAAGAAATATCTGGCAAAAACCCGGCAACATTTTTGAAACCGAAGCCGGAGCCGGAACCGGATATTCAATATTGAAGCCGGATATCCGGCCGGATCTGGATTCAGCCGGATATCCGGTCGGTTCCTAATCAGAAACGTCGGATTATATTGAAAAATCAACCATACTTTTTTATACCTTTATACCAAATGAAACGAACAAGTTATCCTAATCCAAAAAGCTAAAAACTCAAAAGTCACCGCTTGTAATCATTTTATTGATAATTAAAATTACTTTTGGTTCTTACGAAACGTTATACAATATACATGTACTTTATGATAAATCAAAAAACTGCTGATCAGCACCGATATAACCAAAACACAAAACATTGTTATATTAATAATAATACAGTAATTAATAATAATTCGAGTTTACTGAATTTCTTGTCCTCAGCTCAATTTATAGTCCAAGTCCTCGATATTTACAACTGTCTATTATGAATGGTGGCTCAGTGGCTTAGTTGGTTAATTTGCTTGTCTACTGGCCCTGACGTTGCGAGTTCGAATCCCAGTTGGGCCAAGATTTCAAAATTGATGGACAGCCGTCATTCACCAAACCATGGTGTGAATGGTATATTGGCTCTCATAAGAGCTGCGAAAATAACATGAGTGTATATGCCTGGGGTTGCGTCCCGACTATGCTGGCGCTGCAGGGAAATCTGTACCGAAAGGACCGTGGCCGCACCGCAAAATAAAAGGAGATCGGCCCCTCGATCCTAGCTTGCTAGGTTCGCCATTGTTGTTGTGTTGTGTTGTTTCTCGATATTTACAACTGTCTAATGACTTTTCTTTTTGGAAAACGAAATTAGATATATACAGAATAGTATTACAGGTTATATATTATCAACATCATCATTGCAAAAATAAAACCCAGTCCATGGGACTGAAAAATTAGTTGGCTTTCGATTCGAAAGAGTTAAATTCTAAATCGTCCATGTTAGATAATTCATAAGTTTTGTTTGAGGTATTTCTTGATCCTCTAAATCTAATGCAAAATAAAATTAATTTCCTAATTAAACATGATAATTTACACCGATAATAATTTATAATATCGTTGTAATTCTGCTTCTTTTTATAAGCAATTTTATTGCATAGAAGTTTCTGATTCTCAAATGTCCTGGCTTGAGGTCCTATGCCTTTGATGGTAAACGATCCAGATCTAAGTTGTACCGCAATCTGATAGAATCCCTGAATTCAGATTTATTTAGAACGAAACCATGTTTTCTAAGTGGTAAACATGAGAGCCAATTTGAGCCCCATGGTTCGCTAATCTGCTCCAAAACCCTTGCAGTATCCTTATCAACCTTTGTAAGTATCTCCTCTTGTTGTTCTTTATATTCCAAAACACGCTGTTTTAACATGTCTTGGAGCTCATCTGTCGATTCCGTGTCGGTTGTAGCAAGAGATTTACCTTTCATGGAATTTACCAGTCCCCGGGTTACCAAAAGCGATGCAGCATGTTCTTTTTTCGCAAGATACTCCAACTGGTGTATAAGAGATACTGGACAACCAAATATAGTTGGAATAAGCTTATTATTTTGTCAAGAGGGCCCAGTTGGACAATCTAAGACAGAGACTCCCCCCTATAAACTTTTATTACGTTAAGTTTTATCTTATTAAGTTTTTATCATATTAATTATATTAATGGAGAAGTTAATTAGCCAGGAAATAGATATATATATTAACATGGAGTAACCTTATTAGGGGCAATTTACCCAGCTCCAGTATACCTTCTTATCGCTCTATTGATAATTAATCGAGGGCTATATATATATGGGATACGAGAGCACTAGAGTGCCTCTTTAACAAGTTATTCAACTTTTACCTTTACAACCTTGATCTCACGGCTTTCAACCGTTGAGTAATCTAACCTAAAACGGGTTGCTATTTTATTTAAGACTTAGTTATTCTTTATATATTATACCCTAAATTACTATCAAGTCACATTACTTTATCCTACTAGGATTTCATATAACTTGTCTCCTTTGTACTCACTTCAATATCAAACTAAATACAGTCCCCTTTTAAATTCAAACCGAGTAGCTCTACAAGTGGTGGAGAACCCGGGCAATACACAGTCTTTTGCTCCTT